GCGGGAGCGCCGCCGTGCTTCCCAAGCGGCGCACTATCCAATGCGCCACCGGGCCGGCCCCCAGTATTACTTTTTAATGCAACATAAGAATCGTATGAAATATAATTTCTCAAATATTGCATCAGTAGTATTCAGATAAGCCAGTGTGTCAGAAAAAAATTTCTTTTCTTGGAAAATAATTCCCACCAAAGCTTGTCTTAAGCTCACAAGATGCTTTCTGCCCTATCTTGGGCAGGAGTAAGATGTTATAATAATGGTCACCAAGTAATGACAGTAAAAGGACAAGGAAGCTGAGATGAAACACTTTGTGATTCCACAGTCAAGTAGAAGGAAGAGACACTTTTAAATGTTCTTTTCAAATTCCTTGGCAGTAATTTTCTTCTCTTATAGTGCTTTTTCTTCTGAGAAAACAATGCATGCTTTTCTTGTTTCTAATTCTTTCCCCATTTAGATTATACTCATTATTCTTTTTCTGTATTCTTAGAACTAATTTCTAACATTTTTACTCTCCATAACAAAGATAACATTTTAAATACAATTAGAATGGCATTTCATTTGAACCCACAGAAATAATGTGTGTGCACCTCAATATCGCCGTGCCGAGAGTAGACTATCCCCCGCTGTTTTGGAATTATTCTGATAGGTTTGCCCAATGAGCTGAATGAAAGAAGGTGACCCTTCATTTTCCAGGTTTAATTATCACTCTCACTGGAGTTTTCCCACATCATTCTCGAGTGCATGGCTGCCACCTTTAATGACAGGGATTGGATAATTCCACTCACTGTGGCAGCTTCAAAGCAAGGGCCAACTTTTCTGAAAAAGAAATTGTACTGGGGGCGCATACAGGTCAGCTCATATTAGTAGCTCGTGTCTGTTTCCACAGAGGGTAGGCACCACTTGACCATGAACCAGAGGAGACAGCTGAAGAACTTCTTGACTATAAAGGCAACGAAACCCCCTGAAATGTATTGTAACGGCTCATCTTTTAATTATCACAGAGTTATACCGAAGCCTCCGCTCATAGTAGACTTCTGCTTGGCTTTCACTCTGTCCTTTTATTTATCTGTGAATTAAATTTGGCACATTGATCATTGTAGTAACAATTTATAACTGAGAGTTTTTTGTTCCTAAGCTGAGATTTTGCAATGCTTATTATGAAGTATATTGTATAATTAGGGCTTACAAAAATCAATTTTAAGTGAATCCTTTCATTTTCACTGCAAAAGCTTTATAAATCATATATTTTAGTCTTGGGAATTTTTTTTTCTTCAATAAAGAATATCTGAATGTACTGAATTAGCAAGGAAAGACTGACATTTTCTATCATTTGTGGCAGCTAAAGTAAGAGTTAGGCAAAAGGTAGGGATTCAGCAGTGAATCAACTGGGCAATAGAAAAGGGAATGATGGCTTTGTTGGAGGAATTCATAATGGAAGAACAACCAAAATGTAAATATGCATTTATTACAGTACACCTCATTTCTGCAACAACCCTTTCTCAATTAATTTCTGAGACATCAGTATTGCACACATTAAGTTCAAAATGACTCCAAAGAAGTTAATCATGAGCATTCCTGAAGGTGCTTTACTGACCAGTAGCTTCTAAATACAGAGTTCGTAACTTTTTGTGTGTACCAAAATTCATAAGGTTACAAAGGATTCACATTATATTAAAATAAAATTCTCAAAATATTTTTTTAGCGTGATATATATGTTACTCTTTATTAAGGCACTAAATAACACAATCTAG